AAAGATGAAGCGTTGCATTATTTTAAAGTCTATAAAGCTAAGGTAGAATGTCAACTTGAGAAGAAAATTAAGTGTTTACGGTCCGATCATGGAGGAGAATATTTCTCAAATGAATTTTCTGAGTTTTGCGCGGTGCATAAAATTATTCATGAAAGGACGCCACCATACTCATCATAGTCCAATGAGATTGCAGAGAGAAAGAACCACACTCTAACTGATTTGGTTAATGCCATGTTAGAGACTGTGGGACTATCTAAGAAATAGTGGGGTGAGGCCATATTGATAGCGTGTCATGTCCTGAATAGAGTGCCCACAAAGAATAAAGAAATTACACCATTCGAATAATGAAAGAAGAAGAGATTAAATTTCTCTTACCTACGAACTTGGGGTTGTTTGACAAAGGTGAATGTGCCAATAAACAAAAAATGAAAGGTTAGACCAAAGATTGTTGATTGTATTTTTCTTGGTTATGCTATTCACAGCGTGGGTTATAGATTTTTAATTATAAATTTTAGTGTTCCTGAGATGGTTGTTGATACGATCATGAAATCTAAAGATGCCATATTTTTTTAGAATAAATTTCCCATGAAAAATGTACCTAGCACGACTAGTTATAAATTTATAATTCCCCATGAACACGAAAATTTTACTCCAACATAACAAATTGAGGAACCCTATATGCAAAATCCTGAGGAGGATGACACTATAGTCACTAGAAAAAGTAAGAGACAGAGGACTGCAAAGTCTTTTGGTGATGACTATATTGTGTACCTTGTGGATGACACACCAACGACCATTGAAGAGGTATATTTCTCTTCTAATGCTGACTTATGGAAGGAAACAGTACGGAGTGAGATGGATTCTATTATGTCTAATGGAACTTGGGAAATAGTTGATCATCCCTATGGGTGCAAGCCTATAGGGTGCAAATGGGTATTTAGGAAAAAGCTTAGGCCTGATGGTACTATCAAGAGGTACAAGGCAAGACATGTGGCCAAGGGTTATACTCAAAAGGAAGGTGATGATTTCTTTGATACTTATTCACCGGTTGCCCGATTAACTATAATTCGAGTTTTACTTTCACTGGCAGCCTCCTATGGTCTTATCGTTCATCAAATAGACGTTAAGACAGCTTTCCTAAACGGAGAGTTAGAGGAGGAGATCTATATGGATCAGCCGGATGGGTTTGTAGCAAATAGTCAAGATGACAAGGTGTGTAAATTATTAAAGTCATTATATGGCATAAAACAAGCTACTAAGCAGTAGCATGAGAAGTTCGACATAACTTTAACATCTGCTGGATTTGTTGTGAATGAAGCTGACAAATGTGTGTACTATCGGTATGGTGGGGTGAAAGAGTTATTTTGTGCTTATATGTCGTCACGAACCTGCTGATGTTTTATTTGTAGATTAAATTGACTATGAAAATACCTAATTCTCTAACACAAATTTCGTTGTTTAGCCATTTTTTAAATAGAAAACTACTTAATAAAAAAGAGGTCCACAACTGTCTTGCTATTTTACAAAAATCTGATAGCAAGCGTCTGTGGTTGGCTATTTATCGTCACAAACAATCAAGGAATAGTCAGTTTTTTTATTTTATAAAGTTAGATAACACGTCTGTTGAAGTTTACTTTTTGCTATATAAATTTAAAATAACCTCCGCAACAACTGTTGGAGTTGCGAGGCTGTTAGGGTGCGCCCATCGGATCGAAACATCAGTCCGACAGGTCTCCCACAGAGCGCGCCAAAAAAATTCGCGGAGGTAGAGGAAGTGCGTGGCAGATGCTGCCATGCTGGTCCACGCTGGCCCACGCCCACCTCACCCACGTCAGCACGCATGCAAATGACTTTTAACCAACTAAAAAAGTAATAACCGCTAAACTAAAGGTCCAAATTAAATTTTAATTGCACCATCAGATTTGTTGCAATAAATCATTTCAAACAAGATCCACATCGATATATTTAGATAAAAATTTATTAACGAATATTTATCTTATAAAGATAGAAGATTTTGTTTTATTGAGCAGATACGATGTTCTAGTTTCACATAACAATGTTCCGTCTTCGTAAGAAAAATGTTCTTGTTTTAGAAAAACAATATTCTAGTTTTAGGTTCATGAAATTGATATTATAATATACATAAAAATAAATAAATACATAACACAAATAAATAATAATAAAAACTAGAGCAAAGTATAAGATAAATAAATAAAACACGTAATAGAGGAAAATTTTAAAAGAACACCACATGAATATTTTTCAAAACAATCTAAAATAGATTATAGAATATCACATGCATTCTGAGTGAATATCACTAAATACACCATAGAACATCACTTGATACATTATAGAACATCACTTATATAGTACGTGAACATTACTAAATATATCATCAAACATTACATATATACTGTGTGAACATCAAAAACCATCATAGAACATCATATTTATACTACGAAGAACGTCACATGTATATTACACGAACATCGCAAAATACAGCATAGAATATTACATGCATACCATGTGAACATAAAAAATATCACAGAACATCACATGTGCAACACGTGAACATAAAAAACACAGAACACCACATGTATACTATGAGAACATCACGTGTATATTACATGAACATCGCAAAAATACATTATAGAACATTACATGCATACCACGTGAACATAAAAAATATCTCAAAACATCACATGTATACCACGTGAACATAAAAAACATAGAACATTACATGCATACTACATGAACATCACAAAAAACAACAAAAAAAGAAAAGAAAAGAAAAGAGAAAAGAAATAAAAGAAAGTTAAAAAAATTTAAAAAATATATCATATGTATAATATGTGAACATAAAAAAACATTATAGAACATTAAATGAATATCATAGCATCTCATAGAATATAGAAAAATAAAAAAAAAGTGAACATGAAAAAATAATTAAGTAAGGTTAAATAGAAAATAAAAAATCTATAGAAAACGTAAAGACAAAGAGAAAAAAGAAAAAAAGAAAGAAAAACAAAAGGAATAAATATAAAATAAAACATGACAAACAAGATAGTAAAAGCAAAAAAGAACTAAAATAAATAAAAAATGCAAAGAATAATGGAAGACCACATGAAACAAAAAATAAGCAAAAAATAAATTGAAGAAAGGAAATAAAAAAATAATAAGCGGACAGGAAATAAAGAAAAAAATAAAAAAGAAATAAAAGAAACATAAAAAATAAAAAAATGAACAATAATAATAAAAAACACATAAAATAAAAAAATAAAAAATGAAGCACGAAAAGAAAAGAGAGAGAGAGAGAAAGAAATAATAGAAAAAGAAAAGAAAAGAGAAAAGAAAACCGAAAGAAAATAAAATAAAAAGGAAACATACGTACTTCCTACACTGGGGAAATCAAAAGCATCGCGCGTGCATGTGGGCTGCGGCGGCTCTCGTCTGCGCGGGAAAAAGCATCGCTACGGAAGTGCGGATAAAGCGCGGGCACGGGAATCCTCGCGTGGGAAATCAGATCGGCGCGGGAACCATCGGCGCGCTCTTTCGGGTTGGAGTTGCTCATCCGAACACCAAACCAAAATGAGCTCATCATTTTTTTTCAGAAAAATTAGGAAAGAAGAACAACGTGAGGTCGTGAGCTTTTCCCTTTTCTCTTTTTTTCTTTTTTTCTTTTTCTTTCTTTTTTTTTCTTGAGCAAGGCCCACCGTCACTGGTGATTTTCGTGGAACGCGAAGGAACCGCCAGCAGCTTTGAGTGGGCCAAATTTGGCCCTCAGCAGGTTGGCCCAGCAGCCGGCCGAGCTCGGCTTCGCATGATACAGGCGCCAAGGCGCGTGGTAGCACCTGCAGAAATTGCAGCCCACGCCCCCCACCTCGTTATTTACTTTGCTGATATGCTCTAGGGTGATAAGAATAATTTGGAGTGGTTCAAATGTTACTTAACTAGCATCTCGGTCTTTAGGAAACTCAATACTTTGTTGGCACCATTGAAAGAGTGGTAGGCGACGTCATCGTCGACAGCGAGGTGGCAGTGGTGATTTCGTGAATCTCAAGATCCGCCGGCTCGGTCCATCGGAGATGCTCATAGGGGTAGGGTTTGCGTACTTGTATTCATATAGGTGAGTATGCATACGTATTGTAAACGTCTGCGTTGAACCGTGTAATTCTCCACAAAAAAAAATGAGCGATGGAAAGTCACCATACAAAAGAGTAGGTGAGCGCAACCCATACCAGCCATACAACTATATAAGTTACAACTTACAACCAACCTTCACAAGTCACAACCACAACTCGGGACGATTTCTTTGAGGCGCATCCCTCCCTGATACAACCTAAACTTTTTAAAGAAAAGTCTATTTTAGCTCATGTATTGTATTTTGTAACCGTAGTCTAATTTTTATTATTGAAAATACATCTTACCCCTGAATTTTTAAAACCATTCAAATTGCCTCGCTACCTTGGATTATAGTGGACTTTTAGGCGGATTTATGCTTTTTTAGTTAATAAAAATCTAATAGATACTTGATAAGATTTTTAATAAACCACAAAAAGTGTCTCTAAGTTGTATATATTTCTAGAAAATTTCATAAAATAATATATTTAATTTTGAGAAAAATCTAGAAATTTAGATTCAAATTTTGAGAAAAAAAATCTAGAGATACATTTCAGGACATGACAAACCGAAGTAAAGTATTGATTAGTCTCATAAAAATATCTCAAGAAGCTTCAAAAAGTTATAATAACCTTATAAAAGGAAAAATGTTAAAAGGACTTGAAAATTTCCAAAACATTTTTAGCTGATCTGTAGACGTGTTCTTATAACACTTGCTCCGGAGTTCGGATCGAAGTTCCCCCTCCGCTCACCGGCTCCTCTCTTGTCACCAGAACTCCCTTTCCACCTCTCACGAGGCCACGACATTGCGACTGCCTAAGATCCCTCGCTTGCCGGCTGTCGCTCCCTCTCCTTACCGGCCGACGAGCGGGGGAGCCGAAATGGAGGTGGTGAACACGCCCAGCCCGGAGCTAGCCCTCACCAACCGCGCCTTCGTCTCCGCCGCCGACCTCCGCCGACTCCTCGACTCCATTGCCCTCGTCGGCGAAGCCCTCGTCCTCACCATAAGATATCCTTACTCCATCTCACTAGTCCATTTGTCCTACTTGTGGTTGTGGCTGGTTGGAGCCTTCGTCGGGTGATCCGACCCTCGCGTTTTTTTCCTTCTCCGAATACCGTACTAGGCTATTAGCTGATGATGACTGATTGACGCTGCCGTATCATTGATTAATCGTTCCTCTAGGAAATCATATGCGACCTCTCGTTGCATTACGTAATCTGCCAACTCGAGCAGCGGCCAGGGGTATTCATCTTAGTGACATATTCTCATTCTCCACATTGGGGCAGCATACTAGATTCTGTGTTGTTTGTAGAATGACAGCAATGGCCCAAAGGTAGCTTAGTAATTCATATAGGATATGTAGTGTATGTTTTATTATTTATAAATAGGTTTTGGTTTAGCTTTGATAAAAATTTGGCTTCAATTTTTGCTCAGTTCAGCTATTGAAGTACTAGATTTGAGCAGCCTATGTAGATGAATAGCTTATTAACTGACTGCTTGGGAATAACTTATGGTGTCTATTATAGTTTGGGAATCACTACTTTGGGATGTGATTGTTTTGGGGGGGATAACTACTTTGAGATGTGATTTTTTTTCTCTTTTAAGAGCATCTCCAAGTGTCTTTCTGAAATTTATTCTTTAAATCATCATTTGAAGAGTCATTTGAGTAAAAATCGCTTTCTATATCTTTGAACTCTCCAACAGCTTTTCTATATCTTATTCGCACTCTAGAGAGCCATCCTCACTCTCCATCTTTGGCTAACGAGAAATCCAAAATAGATAATGTCTATATTTAGAGATCCATTTAAAGAGACTGTTGGGCTATTTTTTCACCAAAATCTCTATTCCTACGAATTAGAAAGGATATAAACAGTCTCTTGGAATTGCTCTAAGGTCCGGTTTGGCAATTTGGTAGTAATTTTTTGACATGTGGTGTGGAATCCTTAACAGACACGCTCATGATGCCATTGCAGAACGGAATCCACCATCGGCATGCGAAGGTTTCTGCTGGTGGCTCTGTTACAGTCAGCGTTTCTAGATTTTAACACATCACCATGACCTTACTTCTCACAGTTCTTTCTCTGGTCATTTATTTTGTTAATTTGTGCTCAGCTTTGTTCCTCCTGATGATTTTAAGCTGGCTTTGATTACACTAGATCTATCGTATGGCAAGGCGAAACAGAGAAGAACGTGACTGATCTATCTGGAGATGTTGATAATGGACAGAGAACACATGGTATGATGTCTCGAGGGAAGGGGTGAGGAACTTTTATTACTCTTCTTACTTATTAGAGATATGTAAAGACTAGCACATCTACCACATGTAACTTGTACTATATATATGAAATGAAAGCCACCCCCACAATGGGTGTGAGGTGTTCTCCTATTCTCTACACTTATGTTTCCTTTTAACTCAAATTATGTTGCTCTATCTCAATTTAGGTGATGATAGTGACCTTCATGTCATCATCTTTGATGAAATTGATGCTATTTGCAAGGTAAATCACCTTTACCCTCTGCTTCACATCCTTTTATATTTCCACTTATTCAAGCTCTCCCAACACATGAGGATGAGCTGTATCTTTCCTGTTAGTGTAGACAGGTCAGTGTTCGATTTTTTCAATCACATCAGTTTGGTGGCAGGAAGGAGCTTTGTAATGTTGCTAACATTTTGTGCACGTCTGTTTTTGCTACTTCAAAGATAAACACCTCTCCAGAATTCTATGTTCTGTGTATATCATATGATAGAAATCATTCATCATTAACTAAATATTATTATTTGCGAAGACAATGTCATGTTATTATTTCTCTAATACATTGTGTTAAATCAGAACTGTGATCTCATTTTCCACCATGATCCTTAGCACTTCATAGCAGCTTTAAATTTCTATGATTTATTTTGCAGTACTTTCTTCGCAGCACCTGCCCGTTTAGGTTGCCTTATCAATTATGACAAAGTTTTCATGTCTTCTTGAAAATCTGTTTGTGTAGTCGAGAGGTTCCACCAGGGATCATACAATTGTACATGACAGCATTGTAAATCAGATACGAACAAAGATATTTTTCCCTGTAATTCAAGTCCTGTTTGATTGTGCTATTTTCGTGGGTGTATTTAATGATATCTAACCAACCTGTGTACTATTTAAATAGATGGTGTTGAAGCGCTAAACAATGTTTTGCTTATCAGAATGACGAATAGGAAGGATTTGCTTGATGAAGCTTTGTTGAGGTGAATTCCAATACTGCGTATATTTTTTTTACACTGTCTGTTCAATCTTTAGAATGAATATTCAATAGTAATGACAATACACATCTTGTCTATTCAGAGAGCTGGAAGGATCTAATGTCGAGCACTGTCTAATGGTTGATGCTATTTGGCACTCAGACCTGGACGGTTGGAAGTGCACATTGAAATAAACCTACCTGATGAAAATGGGCGCATTCAAATTCTTCAAATTCACACAAATAAAATGAAAGAGAGCTCATTTCTTTCTCCAGATGTTAATCTTCAAGAGTTTCATATGTGTGTTATTCGTTATTCCTCCTATCCTACATGCACAAGCTGGTAATTTCTGTTGCCTCATGTAGTTCCATTAATATTGCTTCATAAAAGTCAATCTATCCTTTTTGAACAGCTGATGTGCCATGTCTGCCATTTTCTCAAAAAAGAGGGAATGTTCCTAGGAATACAAGTACCTGTATCATTGAATCTCTCTCCTTTTTTTTAATGGCATTCCCTATATTTTTTTTAGTGTAAATGCGATTCCATTATTTGATATTCTTACTTGTGCAAAGTTTTTGATAATAACAATATATGAACTCTGTTAGGACACAATCAATCATGCAAAGCACTAAAGGTAACATATGCCTATCTTAATGAAGCTGCACGAATCAAGAACTACAGTGGGGCAGAACTGGAAGGTGTTGTTAAAACTTAAAAGTGCAGTTTCATATGCTTTGAACTGTCAAATTAGTATGGATGACCTCACCAAGCCTTTGGATGAGTAAAGCATTAAGGTCACTATGGATGACTGTGTGAATGGGCTTCAAGAACTTACCCCTGCATTTGGAGCATCTACTGATAACCTTGAAAGATGCAGGTTTGTATCACACATCCCAAACATTTGATTTAAAGAATTTTTGCTTGATGTTTTATATATTCTGAAGACCTCAATGAATTAAATAGCATGGTTTCAGGATTAGAAAGATTAATTACTTATATAGCCTGATCGAATATCCCTAGAAAACTTTCAACTCCGCCTATGGACTATGGTTAGGGAGATACCACTATGCTACTATCTATCTGATTTGTTTTCTGTTAGGCAGTGCGTTTAGCACTGACGTAGTGACGTTTGAAGCACCAGATGTTTTTTCGAGAACATGCCTGACCACGTTTTTCAAAGAGGAGAAAGCAGTACAGAAGCGGAGTGACACCTTGAGTCACCAGATGTCATTCATGATTGTTGTTGGAGATCCATTGTCTAAAGCAACAGGACACATTGAATAGTTTGGAGTTTATTTAGAAGATATAAATGTCTCAAAAATAAAAAGAACTACTATATATGCTTAAATTTTCCCTGTGAAATCACATTTTTGTCGTTTGATCTGCAAGAAAGATTACAATCATGTGTTTATTTTGTTGAACATTGTGGGTTTGATCATAAAAATAAACACTTCTATCAACGGGCTATGCTCCTAGTGGAGCAGGTCAAAGTTAGTAGAGGCCCTCTGTCACTTGCCTCTTGGAACGGTCGGCTGTCTGCTTCACATTAGCCTTTTCTTTTTAGAATTTTAGGGCCAAGCCCCAGTCTTTCCATTGAACAAAGACTTTCACTATTTTAATCTGCTTATATCCTTATCATGGACTCTGCTTCATATTTTTGTTTCTGGGCAATCTTTAGGTTACTGGAGTATGTTGCTGTTGGACCACATTATTCAAACTTGATCTCTCAAACACTTCTGGTTCTCCTCAAGAGAGTTCCTCCAAAGGTTTGCTGTCACTTTTTTTTTTTTGTTACTGATCAGCATATGAATTCACAATTAAAACCACGTACTTGACGTGTGCTCCATTTTAGTTTTGGGACCTCTATGTCATCTTGCTTGAGCCATTTGTAATTTCACCTACAAGGAAGTCAAGAGTGCCTCAAAATTTGGTTGAACTTTATCACAGTATAATTCTTCCTTTCGATGCACTGCCCTTGAGATGAGTTTCTTGCAATTGAGCATAATGACAGGTTCTGAACTTAATGCCACGTGGCTTGGCAGGTGGCCCCGTTTGGGAGAGCTCCTCCCTGATTCTTCAGCTCTGCTCTTTGATTATCCGATGGAGTGATTTCATTGGATTCCTAGAAGGAAGCAGATGAGAATTGATTCTCTGTTGATCCCCGCCAAAATATAGCAAGGGGCATGGTGAAGCAGGTTTTTTAGCTCCCAGCTCCTAATGTAAATGGAGAAGTGATTCTCTCCTGATCTCCACCTGAATCAGTTGCCATTTCGAGCATTTGGGTGGTTGGGAGTAATTCTCTTAAGAGAAGCTGAAGCTGGAGCTCTCTCAAATGGCCAGGCTGCACCAATGGACTCCAACAGTGGGGGAGACTCTGCTGCTAGGACTTTCAGCTAAATGTTATCCTCTGAAGAAATGCAGGATCGGATGGATTGCTGAAGAAATTCACTATCTCACAGATGTGAGGGAACAAAAGTTCCTGTCCGGTGAAGGCACCGAACATATGGACTATTCTTCGATCGATAATGATGAGATGTTGGATGACCATTGGTCCAGAGAAGCCAACTATAACGCAGAGAAGTATTTTGAAGAAGACTAGTTAGCAGTAGGCTGCTGTTTAGATACCCGAAACAATGCATTAGCTTATGTGATGGTTAGAGTTAGCATGTATTTTTTATATAAGTAGGGCATTGCTGTGGTATCCTCTAATGACTATGAGCCGTTCATTTTTTTCATGCGGGAACCACCCATTTCCATTAAGACGAACGGAAATACAAAGTATTCAGCAAGATTATAGACTAGACAGAGGACAGAAAACAACAAGTTTAGATGATGCAGATAACCACGTAGGGAACCTGAGCATCGACGCTCGAATAAAGGACCTTTTAAGGGACCGTGATGCCTAAGAGGAAGGATGTGAATTAGGCAATTTAAAATTCTATTTCTAATTATGGTATTAAATCTTCACCTTAGCAAAAATCTATGTAAGAAAGTAATCTATCTAAATGTGCAACTACGGTTTTACTAATGTGTAGCTATCTCTACCATAAAAGAGTTATGCAACCTAAATTTCAATCATATCAACTATTCTATCAATTAAACTAAGAAAGGTAAAGCACACAACCAAGATTACAATATAATTGCGAAAGGTAAAAGGGCGATAGAGATGCAAACTCCCGTCGACGACCCCGCTATTTTTACCCAGGTATCGAGAAGCGCGTAAACTTTCTTCTAGTCCTCGTTGGAGCCTCTGTAAGAAATCCCTTGCAAGGGCCAAGCTTTCGGTCGGGTACTCCGTGGATAGCACCGGGCCTTCCCCACGTGCAAGTAGGTCTCCGTTGTGCCTTCCGGCAAGCCTCTCCTGGACCGCTCCCCGCCGTCTTCACTATCAAGCTTCCGGCCGAAACACCGCGAGTCTGGTTCCCTCCGTACACTGTGGCGGCTACGCCACAATCGCGGTTGGTGTGATTTCGCAAGAAAACAAGTCCCGCCAAGTACAACAATGGTGCGTACAAGCACTGGATGATAAGAGATGTGCAAACCTCACTAAACACTAGGCCTAAACCTAGAGCAAGCGTAAAGCAGTGGTCTAACTACCATAAACACTTCGCAAAGCACCTACGCTAATCACCTAATAATTCACTAAGCACTTTGATAGTTAGAGCATCTAAAGATGAGCCTCAACTCACACAAGTCTTCCTTGAGCTCCAACAACACCAATTTAGCTGACCACGAGGGTATTTATAAGCCTCAACAAAATAGAGCCGTTAGATGTAAAAATCTGCCTTTCTGGTCACCGACGGTAAAGCATCCGATGCCCCCTTCTCCCACGGCTAAAGAGCCGTTGGGCTGTCACTGCCCGCTGGGCCCAACTCGTCTGACGGTTCGACGCTGCTTCGGGTCCGACGCCCTGCGATCCTCTCGGGCCTTCTCTGTTTCCTGCGTGAAACCGTTACGCTGAGTGCGTGTGTCCGACGCTGCCGTGAAGCAGGGTCCAGAGTTCCCAGGCGTTTTACTTCCTCGCGTGAACAGTGACTGCAGATGGTCCGATGCCCGCTCCAGCCCACGTCCGACGCCTCCTGATGCTGCGCTGGACTGCTGCTGCTGCCCTGGCTAGTGCACGCGCTGCTGCGGCTTCTTGACTGACTCGGAAGCAAGCAAGGTAGGAACATCAGTACGTGCACCTCTCTCCCTTGCATGCACGTTGTGCATTGCTTTTTCCTCTTCTTTTTTTTGTATTTATTTCTTTGTGAGCATTGCAGCTGAGTTGGTTCCATTATTATTTTTTTGCCTGAACTTTGCTTGATCTAGTAGATATTCAATGTGTCATCAAGGTCTTGTGTGAGGTGTTGATCTTCTGGATCGCCTCGTCGCCTTCGTCCAAATCACGATCCAATCCTATTAAACTACAAAATAATCACTCGTAAACACGTTAGTTCAATTTAGTTTTGTTGATCATCAAACACCAAAATCCAAAGTAAATGGATCGATGGTCCATTTTCCTTCCGATCTCTCATTTTTGTGATTGATGACAACATGACCAAAACAAGCAAATAATAAAAGATGCAAAGATTAAAAACTATCTACTTGCTAAGATGCAATACAATGACAAGTCTATATGATGCTAAAAATAACACTTGTATGAATTTTTTTGGAAACTAATCTTGACCTTGCCAATGTCTCCTTGTGGTATTATGGACTTATACTTTCCCTAACTCCATAATCCACTTTTTCTCTCTTTCACGGACCATTCCCAATTAGGTTCACCCCCTTTGATCTTTTTCTCTCTTTCACGGACCATTCCCAATTAGGTTCACCCCCTTTGATCAATGAATTTGGACTTGCTTTTGGTTCTACAAATTATTTTTCTGTGGAATCAAACATCGAAAAAGAAGATATTAGTAGCACAAGAAAGGGTCAAATTTTGTGATCCTATTTATGTGGAGTGAAATGGGTCATAAAACTTGACTCTCACATTAGATAGACTAAGACCCCCCTAAATATATGTACACATATGGTGGAAGGAAAAGAATATGCATAATTGACAAATTAATGCACAAGAAGTTTAATCTATATAATGTATGAAGAAAGCATATAAATAGCAAATTAAAACCAACATAAGGATATCGATTAGGGATACCACGTGTAAAAATCAATTTGATTTACACCACTAGAAATAGTTGGTGGATATTTAAAGCATGATGCTTGTCTCTGGGGACTCTATTTTTCTTGCAATGAGACTACTACATACATGATCAGCTTGAAATAGTATTAGTCTCAAAGCATTCAATTTGTAGAGTAATCTCCTCCTAAATTTATGTATACAAGCATGGAATATTTGTAGGAGACATGCACATTGATTTTTAGAATAAAAAATACCACATGAAAGATGACATCTCATGAATATAAGATCATTTTCAAAAATAATATTCGAGAAAAATTATCTACAATTTAGACTTTAGCACATATAGGATAATTACTTGTAGAACGAGCTATGCGTCGAGCTCCTAACAATTTTAAACCATATATATTTGCTCCAAGGGTAAGAGTGATATCGAGCAACCCTACCATATGATTTACCTAGTGTATGCATGACAGAAGATTAAATATGCAAATACAAACCTAGACATAAAAAAGAGCTAGATGCTAATTGAAATTGGAAGAAATAAAATCTAGTTACCTAACACGGCAAGGAGAATTTGGGTCCATAATATTCACTAACCCACTTGGCTATTACCTTATCCATCATGATGCACCCTATGAAATGCACCCACACTTTGCTAAGTCTCCAAATTTTCTAAAGTTCATTGGACTTCTTATTTCTCCTTTGGGACCTAAATCTTCTTGGTGCTTTTTATGTTAGAAATAATCTCCCTCGATATCCAAATACGTTTGGCCCTATTATTGGCTTGTTTGTTCACCTTGATGGCCACCATCTTGTCATTCTTTTTCTTCTTCAAGATATAAGATGTGGAGGCCTTCTTGTTCATCTTGTTGGTGTAGGTGTTAGAGAGCTTCCTTGTTTGCTTTTTGTTTTCTTTCTTCTTTTCTCCTCCCCATTCTTCACCTTGCACTCATAGAACTTATGGTCTTCCTTGTGGCATACGTAGCAAACCATGATTTGTCCTTTATCAAGCTTCTTCACTCTATTGATGGTGTTATCTTGATGAAGTTGGGCTTGCTCCGCCTTACCTTTCACTTGAGTCAAGTCCATGATGAGACGAGCCACTTCTTTCTTGAGTTATTCATTCTCAACTACAATCTCTTGTGTGCATGTTTCTACAACAACTTTCTCAAAACAAATTTGATCATAAATGGTTGAGCTCAAATTACATAAATCATTGCAAGAAGTAGGGGCATCCTTTTTATGAATGTTAAATATTGAATATTTCTTTTTAGGTGCCACGGTGGGGGTTGTACCGATGGCTTCAAGATTAGCAACTTTACTAGTAAGCTCATCACAATGTTTGCACATAGTTTCCATTTTAGTAAGCAAATTTTTATAGGCATCTTGTGAGTTCTCTAACTTTTCTTTTAATTTATCATTTTTCTTCATAAGTTGCTCATCAATGATTGTGCATGTATTTGTTGTTGCACCAGCCTCAAGTTGCTCAATTTTAGTAGATAGTTCAACATTGAGATTAGCAAATGTCTCATATTGTTCAAACAAGGTTTTATATGCTTCTTGTGAACTATCTAGCTTTTCTTGTAATATTTTTAACTTTTTTTGTTGGCTAGTGCAAACCTTAGCATAGTTAAGATTTTCTTGCATAAGTTCATTAAGAGAAGGCATTTCATCATCACTATCTGTTGGTGTGAAATGTGGCCGACAAGTAAATATTTGTAGTTTTACCATGTGTTGTGATCGGATGTGGCCTAGCACTTAATGACACAGGATTTATATTGGTTCAAGCAACGGGCTCTATGTCCAGTTGAGGTCGGTCGACGACTTTATTTCTGAGCCCAGGTGCTCGAAGTTTGCTGTGGGGTTACAAACGAGTAAGGAATGAGAAGGGGGTGTTAGAGGCCCGGTCGGACTCTGAACTGAGTGGCCGATTGTGATGGGTCTCTAACGTATGCTAAGTATTGAAGCGTATGCTCTGTCTGCCTCTAAGGCTTATTGAGTTGTTGTGTTCTCGAGTCATCGAGAGAGTCTGACAAAGAGAGAGAGACAGCGTCATTTTTAGGAGAGAGCGCATCCCCTTTTATAGTTGAATGGGATGGCCTTACAAGTCAGAGAGAAAGAGAGAAAGTGTATACGTGTGTTGCTTAGTCTTGTTGCTCATGCCATCGGATACGGGATGGCTGCCAGCACCCACAATAGTGTTTATGCCCAGATGCGTCTGGCAGGCTCTACCGTGTTCGCCTAGTACGATAAACATCGGTGTCCACAATACTGTTTGTGGTCTGACGCATATAGAAGGTTATATAGTGTCCGTCTATCATGACCTGGATGCACCGTCTTGTAGGTGCGCAGGATATGGCATGGTACGGTCTTCGGGATTGCGTTTGACTTGAGTGTCTTACCTTATCTACTCTGCCTGCTCCCTAGGCCCACACTGAGCGAGCGTCCCTGGTCGGTCGTTCCTAGTCGTCTCC